ATATATATATATATATATATATATATATATATATATATATATATATATATATATATATATATATATATATATATATATATATATATATATATATATATATATATATATATGTCACACTAAATAGTGAAAACTACCCACTGAGGCTTAGTCGGCAGACAAATTGCCATTTAACACTAAATGGCAATGAGGTATATAATTTAAGATAAGTGTCCATATTTAATTAATGCTTTTTAACGTTAGTTTGCGCAACGGTATAATAGTGACCACCTTAAGGTAGCTGAGTCACAAAATGATAAAAAAATTTCACTGTCTGATCCAGGAAGAAGAAAATAAATATCACACACAGCTAGCCTGAAGGTTATTGCGAGTGCGCGCTCGCGAGCTCTGGGGGGTATATATATTGGTGGTGATTGTATGTATGTGTGCTAACAGTAGGGGCCTCTAAATGGAAGAGGTACATAAAAAGTATCTTACTGCTGAATTGAGGAAAATTAAGATGCCTTTGCCCACTGAACAAACGCACCAATTAGCCAAAGTAATAAATAACACAGTAAAAGAAAAGTGAAAGAGGAGAATTGAGGATAAAAAGGAAAAGAAGGAAGAGAGTGAAGAGAGGGAATTTATGATAAAGAAAGAAGAAAAATTAGAAAAGAAAAAGAAGTTTAAGGAAAAGAAGGAAGAGAGTGAAGGTGAAGAAAGGGAGTTTAAGAAGAAAGAAGCAAAATTAGAAAAAACAAAAAAGTTAAAGAAAGAAGAGAAGAAGAAAGATGAGAAGGAAATAGATGAAAAGAAGAAAGAAGTTAAGATGGAAATAGATGAAAAGAAGAATGAATTAGATGAAGTTGATGAATTAGAAGAAGTTGATGAATTGGAAATTGATGAGAAGAAAGACGAAGAAGATGAATTGGAAGTTGATGAGAAGAAAGACGAAGAAGAAGAATTAGAAGTTAAGGAAGAAGAAGAATTAGAAGTTAATGAGAAGAAAGATGAAGAATTAGAAGTTGACGAGGAAGAAGAATTAAAAGTTGATGATGAGAAAAAAGATGAAGAAGAAGAATTAGAAGTTGATGAGAATAAAGAAGAATTAGAAGTTGATGAGGAAGAAGAATTAGAAGGAGAAGAATTAGAAGTTTTTGATGAGACGAAAGACGAAGGAGAAAAATTAGTTTTTGAGAAGAAGGAAAAAGAAGTTGATGTTGATGAGAAGAAAGAAGAAGAATTAGAAGTTTTTGATGAGAAGAAAGACGAAGAAGAAGAAGAATTAGAGAAGAAACACGAAGAAAAAGAAGATGCTGAGGGTGAAAATGTGGAACATATTATAGACGGAAAACATATTTTGAAACTCACGATATGTGTTATAAAGAAGCAGAATATTATAGATATAAAGGATGAGGAAGGCAAGGAATTTAAGGATATTAAAATAGAAAAAGGGGAAGAAGAAAAGAAGAAAGAGGAAGGCAATAAGGAGGTTAAAATAGAAAAAGGGGAAGAAGAAAAGAAGAAAGAGGAAGGCAATAAGGATCTTAAAATAACAAAAAATAAAAAAAAACTCACAATAATTTTGGATTTTGGAGAAAATACCTCCTCCTCATACACTGCCACGGCTATTGAAAAATAAATTGAAAATATTTACAAAATGATTCATACTCTGTATTATTATAGATAATTTATGCTTTAGTAATTGTAAATATTCTAATAAATCATTTTCAAAATTTGAAATGAAACTTATTATGTATTTTATTGCAACCAAATGAAAATATGCATCTTTAGTAATAGTCATAAGATTTTTATTATTATTTTTAATATTATCGTGAGTTACCACATAAACTGGAATATCATGTGTTGCTAGATAATTAAAAAACTTTAAATGATTATATGTTTTTATAGAATGGGCAACATTTTGAAACTCTAAAGTATAGATCGACATTAATTTTATTTCTGTTGAAATATTAAAACATAATAGTCTTAGCCTATCAAAAATATAATAAATAAATCTTAATTGAGGTAAGTTGTTTTTTTGTAAATTATTTAAGAATTTAAAATACGTGTCATTATTATAATTCATTTTTATATAATATTAATTCTTCAAACTACTATTTTTTATTCATCTTCCTCCTCCTCATTCTCATCTTCTTCCTCCACCTCAGCCACATCTTCATAATTATTTCTTTGATTAATATTCTCAAATTCTCCTTCTGTTTCTTGAAATTCACAAACATCTGTTTCCCTTTTAAACCCTCTATAAAAACAATCATTATTTTTCTCTTTGTATTCTCTAATAATTTTACTTATAGTTACAGCATACTTTTTACTTATAGCTCTCCTGATATCTTTGGATGTTTTAAGTATTTGTCTTATTTGCTGTGGTGCTGTTGAAATATTATCCATAGACACATCTGAATAATATACACTATTTAAATAGGACAAATATAATATTAAATTACCCTCATGAACTCCAATATAATTTAAACCAAATGAAATTAAAGCATTAACGCGAAAAGTATTTTGTTTTTGAGTATCTACAAATGTTTCTGATTCGATATTTACTAAATTGGATCCTATACCATATACGGATTTTCCATTGGGTTTAAGTACTAAACCACCCAATGGAGTATTATTGATAATTTTCAGTTCTTTTTCTACATCAGCAGCGGCTGAGGCAGTGGTGGTGGTGGTAGTAGTAGTCTTTATAAAAGGAAAAAAATGTACTCCCAAATTAATGCGGCTCATTAGGCATTCGTCTTGATATTGTGGGTCTTTGTTAGATAGGATATCCTTACATGGGAGAGGACATTTCTTTTTACTATGGGGATCTGCACACATTGAAACACTCCATTTGGTGGGTTGTATTAAATTTTCACCGTGGATGTCGGTTAATTCTTTAATTAACGGATCAATTAACTTAAGTTGTATAATTCTATTAATATCATCGTCGAATTCTATATTAGAAATTTTATTCACCACTTCTTTATAATGTCCGCCTCCCGAAAAAAGACGACACTTTACTTCCAATAGATGAACGTTTACTTCTCTAAGAGAACTATCGACAATAATATACCTTTTCATTTTATTTACAGCTCCCATTTGTGGAATCTTTAATTTCAAAGAAGGTTGATAATTATTTTGTTCCCTACATTTTTTAGTAAATTGAGATAATATAGAATCCATATATATTTTATTTTTCAATTGATTTTCTCGAACTGTTACCATAGAATTTAGGTGTTATGGTTCTTCGGGTAAAACACTATACAAATTATTGTCGTCGTCGTCGTCGTTGTTGGAGGTAACATCAGATAGGACAGCCTCTATTATACTAATTACTTCTTCTTTTTTATTATTTATTTCCATTGTACTAAAATAAATTGAGGGCTTTGGAATCACTTCTTCATTATAATACACTGACGTATTTCTCGTTTGAGATGTAAGATTAATTGCTGCTGTAGATGCTGCTGATGATGGTGAAGGTGATGGTGGGCGGCGATATAAAAGTTGTTGTTGGGAAAAAGATGATGATTGTTGTCTCTTAGGAATTGGAATTGGAGATGACTTTTTATCCAGAAAACGTTTATGCTGTTTGTGTTGAGGAGAAGGAGAATGATAATGAGCCTCTTCACCACCGACTGAGTTATTAATTGATTGTTCTGGTATTTGTTTAGGTATTTGTTTAGTCGTCTTAATTTGTCTGTTCAACATCATGATATCGTAATCTGTCTGTGTGTAGTTTATTAATAATAATTAAAGTACCTCATCATTGTATTTATAGTAAAAATCATAAAAAAAAAAAAAATTAAAAAAAAAAATGGATACCTCAACAAATACACTACCTTTATTTTATTGCTTACACTGTATGGGTTTTTATTCTTGGTTAGAAACTAAACACGACGACGACGACAAAGAAACGGTGACAACGTGTCCCAAATGTTTTTCTACCTTAGCTGTAAATTTATATATTATTAATGGAAAATTCTACGGTATTGACCACCAAGTTAACAATCAACAAATCTCTGACTTTGACTTTATTAAGGCTGCTTTCAATTCTCAAAACACCCATTTCTCTTCTAGAGGAGTCTGTGATATTAGCACTGAACCACATGCTAGAGAAAATACCATATATAGAACAAGAATCCTCACAAGTTCTTTCGAAAATGGAACATCTTAAAATTACCCAAAATAATCAAGAAAGCAATATTTCTTTTCTTTATATTTATAATGGAATTAATAATATTATTGATTATACTAATAATACATTTTTAAACCCTTATGTAAATTTCAATTCTATTTCTTTGGCAATAGACATATCAAAAAAAGATGGTGTTCTTTTTTTAAAATTAATTTTAGATATGAGAATTAAACAACAACAACCACGCATATTTTCACCATTAATTATTTTATGTGAAAACCAAATTTCAGTACAAAAACTATTGAAGATAAATCGTAACATGGTTGATCATCGACGAAGTTATATATTTCTAACTGAAAGTGTTAAATGTCATAAAGAAGTTTTAAGATCCTTAATAAATTGAAACCGGAAACCGGATGGAGCACGAATTATATATGTTTTGTGGGAATGTATTAACAATTCTCATATATATAAAATGCATACAGAAAGGAATTTTCTATTACTTTAAAAAGATATTGACCCAGAAAAGTTGTTGTTGTCAGAGGATTTACATTTATTATACCTTTTAATAAATTACACCAGATGGAGCACGAACTATAACACATACTCTACACAGCATACATTTAAGTTGGTTTCCTGAAATTTCGCGGTTTTGTAAGAATGTACTGTAACAATTCTTACAGAGACAATGACCGCAAGAAAAAATAACGGGTTTCCTTGTTTTTCTTCTAAACAAATGGGACAATCAAATATAATATGTTGGGAATATACAGCGATTGTTCCCCCCGTTTTCAATTCATGGAGATAGCACTCTTCACGTGCTTCATTGGAGTATATTATATGTTTATACGGTTTATGAATATAAATTAAGACAGAGGATACTGGAGGAGTATTATCACATTTTAGACATAATGTTCCCATAAAAGCTTCATGAGAAGCTTTATTTAGAAATATACCATTATTTATTACATTATACAAATAATTTTGTATAAAATTTATATAATTATTATTGTTGTTTTTATTAGCATTGTTGGCATTATTTGTGATATTTTCATAAAGATCATAACATGTTTTACAAAAAAAGGTTTAAAGGGAAGTGCTGAAAATAAATTAGTATTCCATTTAGCTGCATCGCATATTTTTTTTTTTACTTTTTTTCTTTTTTTTTCTATAATATTCTAACAATTTTTTATTTTGAATTGGATTATCAAGAAATCGTTTCAAGAGATTATTTGTTTCAGTTTCATTCATTTGATAAGTGGAATAACAAAACTTATTATTTTTATTTATTAAGGGTTTAAAAAAGGATATCGTGCGTAGAAATGAATTCATACTTTGGTGTTACAAATCCCATCCCACATCAGAAATAATGCCTATATCAGAGAAGTTGTCAGAGGATGTACAATACTTTTACGCGGTTTATAACATGAGTAAATCTGATTTCAAAAATTATGTAGATAAACATATTTTCCCAAAAATGGTACCTCTCTCCGACGGTAATAAAGAAATAATACGAGAGTGGTTAAAATATCAAGAAGTTGACGACAGTAAGATTGAAGAATATATTGAGGAATGGGATGATGAATTGTTCGATTATATTTTAGGAGAAGACGACGGCACACATAAATGTCTGCCATTTTTATGGCAATACTACCATGACCAATTGGTCTTGCATCGTTATTACAATACTTTGTTTTGGAAGAAGGAGTGTTTATCCCAAGGAGTAACCCTGTAACCCCTAATGTGGATATTAAATGTCCATAAAAAATGCTTTATGAGAAATTTATTTATAAATATACATACAATTTAATCTTTCTCCTCGTTTGTTTGTTAGATTCCCATATTTATTTTTTATTATTTTATTAATATAAAAGTACGTGCGTGTGTATAGAAAAAAATTATACCTTTTAAAACAGGGTACAATGAAATCGAAGTCTAATACAATGTGTGAGTTTGAAATATACATTCTTGTGAAAAAACTATGTAAATTTGATTTCATAAATGATGTGATGAAACTTATAAAAGGGGGACTTCTCTCAGTCCGTAATAAAGAAAAAATACGAGATTGGTTAATTTATCAATTAGTTGACGGAAATATTGAAGAATATATTGAGGAATGGGATGATGAATTGTTCAATTATATTTTTGGAGATGACGACTGTACTCGTAAAAAATCTTATGGAATTTTAAATCAATTAACATATGACACTATGATTCTACATCGTTATTACAATACAAGAGTGTGGAAAGAGATAGAAATGGAATGCCCGCAAGAATTATTATATTATTACAATGTGTGATCCCATTAATATCATCATCCATCATCAAGTTCGTCGTTTAATTGTATTTCATTATTGTATTCCTCCATCCCAATTATAAAATTTGTAATCCTTCAAAAACTTATTATTTCTGCCCTGTTCCTGTTTACTTTACAAAGTCGCGCGTGGATATGATATTTTACAATTGAGGGAGGGAGGGAGGAAGGATGAGAGGGAGGG